TACACCGCTGCAGTGAGAAATTGAGGTCGCGTTTAGCAGCGGCTCCCAGTACTTTGTTCACTTGCACACAGTTTAGGAAGGCAAAAAGCCGGTCCCTGATATTCAAAAGGTTAAGAAACGCTGCTCTAGAGTCTGCTGCTTTCCCCCATGGGCAAGATCCATAGGGCCCCATGTGCCAGCCCCTCTGCACCATGTTACAATAACAACACGTTATCAATGCCTGGAGCTCTCCTGGTGCCGGAGCCTGCACGCGCTGCCTGTTTGCATCACAACTTGTTGTGGTTCAAGCTGTCATTCGAACTGTCACTCATTAAAAAGACCCAGTATTGATGTTTGTGTGCCTTGCCTCTTTTATCTGTTCAATGCATCAAGCTCGGCTTATTGTGTAATAAATAAGGTGATTCTTTAATTTCTACGGGCGCGATTCTGCTCTGGTTTCCAGCAGTGTAAATCTGGAGGAGCTCTGTTGCAGTCAGTGGAGTTACTCCGGATTTACTCTGGAGTCTCTAAGAGCAGAAGCCGGCCCTGTCTATCCCACTTAGCGTCTGTGCTTCTCGTGATGGATGATACAACAAATGTGTCACACGGAATTTGTTACGCACACACACCATCAACTATGGCAAGGGCTGTCCACTAAAGTCTGGAGGAGAAGAAGTAATGGGCATAATCTGCAGCAAGGGAGATTTAGGTGAGATGTTCGGAAAAACTTTGTAACTCTAAGGAGAGTTCGGCTCTGGAACAGGCGTCCAAGGGAGGTTGTGGAATCCCCGTCCCTGGAGTTTTTAAGAAGAAGTTAGACAAACATGTGTCAAAGATGGTCCAGGTTTACTTGTCCAGACCCCTGTGCTGAGGCAGGACCTGGATGACTTTTCCAGGTTCCTGCCAGTCTGACATTTCCATGATTCTCTGAGCGCCCATAAAAAATGAATGACTAAGGCCCAGAATATGATCTCATGTTACCCTGAGTACTGAACCCAGCGGGGCTGCAGGAGCGCCGAGATTTCCATTGTGACTTCAAACTGAGGTCTTGAATGAATGGTGACTTGCAGTCACTGAGGAAGCTTTCAGCAAGATGAGAACAGCTGTCTCTGGTTCCTTGGTCAACTTCCCCTGTGGGTAATTACAAGAGCTGGTCTGGAGTCTTTAGAAGAAACATTTCTGTGTCAGAAAATGCCCATTTGTTGAAACGAAGATTTGTTTTCCATAGGAAAAGGGTCGGTTTTGATGAATTTCTTTACTTGATAAAACAGATTCAGAATTTCAAAATGAAACTTTCTGGTTGTTCAAAAAGGCGTCTTGCTTAGAAATATACACTAATTATAGTAGAATTTTTTTTAATATTTCATGGTCTAAATTTATATGTTCAAAATTGGAAAGAAAATTTTCAAAATTCTTAAAACAAAATGCTGCATTTCACAAAACCGAAAATGATTTTTGATTGAAGAAATTTTTTGAGATTTTGACTTTTTGTACCGGTTCGACACAGGAAAATGTTTCAGTATCTTAAAAATTTGTGTGGGATGGAAAATCCATTTTCTGCCCAGCCCTGGTAATTACATGAGTGTAAAATTGCTCCTGTAGGTGCACTTGGCTACATGGCTCCTTTTCACTTCCTGCCCTAAGGCACTGCGCCGTGCTGCTGTGAGGCTGTCAGACAGCTGCCCCGCTCCACCCCCACCGTGTCTAAAGAGATTTCTAGATACACTGTAAGGGCCCAATCCTGCCTGGTGCTGAGGCACTTCCTGTGACGTGCTGGGCACCCACAACGCTGATTAAAGTCCAGGGGAGTGGTGGGTGCTCAGCGGCTGTTAGGATCAGCTCCTACCTTCCTTTCCTTAAAGCACTGCACATTGTAACGCATTTTTGCTGGGATCCTTAGAGCAGTAAATAGGGCTTTGTGCCATTCTCAATCAGTGTTACTGGGAGGGTGATAACAGGCCCTTACAGGAACTGGGCTGGGCAGACATTGTGCTCAAATAGTGTTATGATTTCTATGGTCTTATCTGTACAACCACTGACAACCTTCAGCCCCTTAACAGCGAGCCTGGGAACCAGATTCTCATTAGCACTAAGCCCCTGTCCTCCATGGTAACACCCAGAGGCCTGGAAGTGGGTGTCAGTGTAATTTCTGCTCCTCTAAACTCCTCTTTACATTGGTGCAAAGGGGAAGCTGTGTCATTGTGAGTAATGCCCTTGGGCTAGAAATCAGGCAGAATCGTGGCCAGTCCAGTCGTCCTTCATCAGGCCAAACTCCTGCTTCTACTTAACATTGCCTCAGTCAGAGACTGCAGGATTTAGCCCAGGTCGCTTCCCAACCATGGGAGGGAGGAAGGCGGGGAGGGAAATGGAAGGAAGATGGTCCCCAGCATTAGAGAACTGCCTGGAAGGGGTTTGTGACAGATTGATCCAGGGGAGCTGCCGCCAGCCAGAGCAGCCTCACAAGCGGGGTGCGGGTTAAGGAGACGTGGCCAAGGCACCCAGGGATTCTGTTCTTTGTTGAGCCACTTGCTCTAATCATTAGCCCACGTTGCCCTCTATTGTCAGCTGTTTCAGAAGGGACATTGACAGATGCACTTTACTTCTCTCTCCCTGCTTTGTGCAGCCAGAATGGGACGTACACTATTTTGAAAATCATGTCTTACGTTGTCTTTTTTCTCACACATGTCAGAGCTTTCAGTTTGATGATCTAAAGTGAAGTTAACAGTCCTCCAAGAGAAGACAACAAACAATCATTACATGTCTGCGTTGTGCCACTAAGAACTGTGCTACAATAAACCAAACATGGAAGGCTGGGGAGAGATTTGGCTTGGGATTGTCAAAGGACCTAAGTGGTTTAGGAGCAGTTTCCTTTGACGGTCAATGGGACTTGTGCTCTGAACTCATGTGGGTTTGTTTATTTACAACATCCATATTTGGGATTTTTAATTATTCTGAATCATTATACCCAAACCTTGTGCCACTGGAATGCAGAGAAAATCTACAAGAAATGCTGTAACCTCTGCAGAGTCTTTAACCCACCCATCTAGTATCTATCACCACAGCACAGCCTCCTCAGAGGCGTTCCTCACTGGAAATGACCAAACCACTGAACCCAGTCACTGCAGCAGTGCACTAGGCATCAGCCTTTGGGCCAGTGTGTCAGGATTTTGTCCTAATATTTTTATGAAAATGATCTTTGCCGAGTATCTGGTTTTATCTTCTTTAGGTAAAACTTCTGCATTAAGCTCCAGAATTGGGAAAACAGCCTCTTCATTAGGACACTAGTATTGAATACTGTATCTATGATATGTTTTGAAACTTTTCCTGGATATTAATTGGATTTCCATTCACTTGTATGAAGTTAGAGCAGCTTTTTAAGTATTTGGGATGCAGAGGATAAATATTATCAGATTAAGTAAATTCTATTGCTGAGCTATCCAGTCCATCTGTGGCACTTGGAGACCTGACGGACACTGACTATAACGATATTTTATTTTTCCAGTGCTAGGAGTCCGGTTATATCTGTACCAGACTCAGCGGATCCAGTTTGTTGAAGTTAGTGACACCGCAAAGATCCACTGTTCTTCCAAAGAAAACCTGGAAGGAGGAAGTAGCATGTTTTGGTATTTGAGAAGAGAAGGTGAGAAACCCACCTGCATTAAGCGCTGTTTGGATGATCAAAATGTAAGTAAATTTGCTTGCAAACACGAGACACACAGCTCGACCCTGGAAATCAGCAACATCCAAAAGACTGAGTCTGGCATTTACTACTGTGCATTGGAATACAGCAGCTACCTGATTTTTGGAAATGGAACCACACTGATTGTTGGAGGTAAGGAACCACAGCTTCCTTAAGGAGATTCACAACTGATTGACAAAGCATATTTCATGTTCCCATTAAAATGTGACAAGATACCTCAGCTATTGATGAATGGTTCAAAGGAAAGCATGCTTTAAGCCAAACCGATCAGCTAAACATTAAATGCTATGGGTATAGAAGTTATAGAATAACATTTATTGTTATAAAATATATGTTTAAAACCTGAAAGTACCAAAAATAAACTATTGACATTTCTCTTTGACTGTTCAGGGCAGCCAGGTAGGGAATATTTCTAACCTAAGAGTTATTTTTGCATGAAACAATATTTTGAGTTAATGAAAAGTTTAAAGAATGTATAAAATTGTACGCAATTTTCTTTCTAGGTAGTACAGCTACGTATTGTGCTATATCCCAGTTAGTGTTGGTGTGGTGATTTCATATTTCCTTCGTCAATACATTGGTTCCTTTGAATTAATGTCTTAGTGACAGATATGCAGTGTTGTTTTAGCTGTGTTGGTCCCAGGATATTAGAGAGAAAAGGTGGGTGAGGTAGTATCTTTTATTGGACCAACTTTGGTTGCTGAGAGAGACATGCTTTCTTGCTGACACAGAGCTCTTCTTCAGATCTGGAAAATGACACTCTGAATATGTTTCCCAGACCTGAAGAAGAGCTCTGTGGCAGCTTGAAAGTTTGTCTCTCTCACCAACAGAAGTTGGTCCAATGAAAGATTTTACCTCACCCACCTTGTGTCTCTGAGTGAAAGATTAACACCTTTAATCAGACTGCAGATCATTTGATCATCACACTGAATTCTCCACCTCCTTCTGCTCAGACAGTTATACCAACAGCAGCTGGGTGATGCTTCTGGTCCCATTTCCACGTGGCAGTCAAGTCACTGAGACAGCGAATCTGGCTTGTGTGATCCATGGAGTGTCCAGCCCAGTCCATGTTTCCTGGAGTGTTTCTGGGGAGCTGCAGGACCAGGGGCTGACGCGCTCATTGAAAGCAAAGGATGGATCTTTAATGCTCAGAAATCACATCAGCGTCCCCATGGACACCTGGACCAGTGGGAAGAATTTCACCTGTGAAGTCAAATTCAACTCTTCTGGCACCAGTGTGAAGAAAAGTACCAGGTATCCTGCAGGTGAGTGATATGATATTTGAGGCTAATGGAGACTCTGATGTAAAATAGGTGTAAAGTTGCCCCAATCAGAGCTGCTTATACATAATTTTCCATCACAGAAAGCTGGAATATTCTATATCTTAATTAAAACTTCTCTAGGGAGTTTTGGGAAAGGAAACTTGAGACATTACAGGGACCACAAGACAAAGCAGCTCTGATCTCTAGGGCAGCTTTCTCCCAGACTGTCCATATAAAGCACTGTAAAGAGTTAAATAGTAATAAATATCAGGAGTAAAGGGGAATTCAGAGGCATTTGAAAAGAGAGATGTTTTCCAATGAGATTTGCAAAGTGATGGAGAGGTGATGAGGTGAGGAGAGACCTACAGGGAGGATTTTGAAGATGGCAGAAGGTGCAGAGAAGATTCTGATTACAGGAGACTAGAATTCGCCTACGGAAAAAGGGGCAACACAGAGGGTGAAAGGTGCTGAAGGCTCCTGTAGCCTCGTTCCTCAGGCGTTAAGGCCCGTGGTGAAATGGGGATCAGGAGGGAAGAGCT